CACTCTCTCTCTCTCTCTCTCTCTCTCTCTCTCTCTCTCTCTCTCTTTTATACTTTTATACTCTACTCCCCCATCTCTTCCGGCAGTTATCAACCAATTTGATAACCCATTAACCAACCAAATATCCAAACAACTAACTAACCAACCAAGCATGTGATTGACTACATATTGCATTCGGTATGTCGACAGCAAGGTGCTTATCCTTTAACTTCATGCATGTAAAAAAGAATGTTGATTTTATACCAATGATAGAATAAACTTAGAGTAAAGGATTTTGAATAAGTTAGGAATAATTAGAGAAGTTTGCAAATGTATAATGTTTACCTTCGGACATGGTCTGCCATGTTAATTTTTACTCAAACACATTCACATAACGTTACATGTACTACGAGTATATGGTGACAGGAGTAGAGCAGACAATGAAATTGCAACATTATGTAACCCAACACCAGTTACCATGGTGACAGACATCAACAAATCAGGCCATTGGCCAGGTCAGAGGTTAGTGTTTGGAACAGAAGAAGAAGAAGAAACGTAGTAAAAACAATATGTTTTCCTTCGGTAAACATAATTAACATCAACTATAACATCTATGTTGTTTCAGCACTTTTAACGAAATGTTTCACGATGTTTTATCCAGTTTTTAATCCCTCTTTTTTCTCTTATTTTTCTTACAGATATACGCGCTGAACAAAATCATGTCAGAATTTGAATGGTCGAACTTTCAAGCTTTCAAAAGGAGCGTCAACGGTGGTGTATGACAGTCGTTCTTGGTAATAGAGACACAATCAACAATCTATAGTGCCAAACAAAATAATATTATCATATCGGTATACTTGGTGGATTAGGAGTCTAAAAAACAAAGTTATATCATACTTTTTTCATTCTACACGATTGTATATATTAGGCCACACCGATTTAATTTCATGGATGACATCCGCGCCCGCATTGATTTTCGCCTGTTCTCCAAAAAAATCACGTCCTCCGAGGCTCTGGCCTGGCTCTAGACCTGGGCACTTAGCGATAATACGGAGCCGGCGGTATCTCTGAAGGATGGCACCCAGGCTACCGAAGCTCCAGGACTCAAGAACTCAGTACATACGTGCAGTGCTATATCATAAATTCCGCAAAAAAAACAGCATGTGCCTGCTTGTCGTATACGTCGCTATGCACCACCGCAAATTCACAATACCAGCTTTGTATTCCTATGGTTTAGTAGCATTTTTATTTTTGGCCGGAAATTTTTTTATTCGCCCGCGCGCACTATTTTTGGGGTCTTCAGAGGATGTTATCCATAAAATTAAGTCGGTAAGGCCTTAGGTTGATAAATTGATGCCTTGTTGTACTGTATTATCATCATGACAGTTGTTAAACACAGTTATTTGCAAATAACCAGGAGGAAACTACCTGGTAGCATTTCCCTTTGTAACCTTCCTCGGGGCAATACTGGAGTTCTACTTCTCACTGCTAGGTGGCGCTGCAGTGAAAAGAATGGCGTCTCAAACATGACTAAGTTTGTATCCCCCCCCCCAATCTCATGCCACATCCTCATGACACTATTGGTGGATATTACCATGACATATCATGTCCATACTACACATTGTACAAACTAGCATGGAAAAGCTAGCCACATATTTATTATACCAGTTGTTTTTGGTCTATATTTCTTCTTTTTTCACTGAAAGTTTTAGGCCAGACCAATTTAATTTCTTGGTTAACGGATTCGCCCGCTTCATTTTTTTCTGATTTGCAAATAAAAATAAAAATTCAGAATCAACTGCAAAATGCTCATATTTTGCCCTGAACAGTTGAAAACAGTCCTTTTCATCCTAGTTGTTACAGTTATTCCATCTTTCAATGGAATGGTATCATTAAAAGTTCAAAATTCATTGTTTAAATTTTGAACCAGCCTGGTGTGTTGATTTCATGGCTCCTATCGTACCATTTTGGGCCATAATAGGATGCCTAGGCCTGTTTTTATTTTTTTTTTCGCCCGCCAGCTCCATTATTTTTCTAGAAAGATCCGTTAACCAAGAAATTAAATTGGTGTTGCCTTATCAATAAATATTTGTCTTCGTTGTTACAACTTCTACTTTACAGATATTAATACATCGGACTCACAATGTTGCCAGTTGCTATTTCAACTTCCATGAAGTTGAAAGTTCAAAAAAGATGTCGTTGTAACATTTTATGTGTCTATGGTGATGCTATGACTTTTAATGCACAAACATATTTCATGACAACACATATACCCACCAAACATAGCAAAACGGACCTCTATTGTGCAGTTATTGGTGTCATTTCACAATTATATGACTATCTTAAAGCAGCAGGCTGCTATTTTGTAAGACACAGTTGTAAACAAAACTCTCTTTGGTGAGATTTTTTCTCTATGCAGTGTGAATACGATGGTGCCATGGTGGATTTCAAAAATATGAAAATACAATATTTTGAATATACAATTTGCTTTGCGTGTTTATTGATATGTTTCGTAATTTCTAAACAAACAGATAATTCAGTATATGCTCTATATGCTCTTGATTTTGAAAGAACAAGGTTTAACGCTACTACATCATATTTGTTTTTGGCCGTTTCACAATTCCAAGTTTTAAATAAAGTTTTATTGCAAATTCATGCCCGAGGGCTAATTACATGAACAGAAGAAATATTTGGTATAAAAACAGACAATTAGTACTCATAGAACTACTGATAACTACTAAGAAACTACTAGTAAAAACTACTTTTATTTAAAGACAGAGGAAGACAAAGGATCCCACTTTTTCCGTAATTTGTGGGTTTTCGGATGTTAAGAGGAGAGTAGTTTTCATTTGTATATGTGTGAAATTGTGGGTAGAATTTGGAGACTACGTCAAAGAGTTCATTTCGTTCATTGCTATAGAGGGTACAATTTGAGATAAAATGCGTTTCGTCTTCCACCGTATTCAACGTACAATGTTTGCAAATTCATTCATACACTTGGAGCTTCTTATATCGCCCTCTCTCAATTTCGAGAGGGTGTGCACTAATTAGTAAATATAAATTTGACGAGCGAGCTGCCATGTGTAAGATTAGAATAAGAGAGCATCCACTAGAGATAGAAAAAGGCCGCTATAGAAAACTACCTACCTGTGTACGAGAGATCATGTAAATATTGTACAATGAATGCAGTGGAAAATGAAATACATGTTGTTAGCCAGTGTCCTCACTATGAGACTGAAAGAAACAGATTATTTCAGACAGTTACAACAATTTCTCCATCCTTCCGTCATTTAGAAGATCACCAAAAAAACTGCATTTCTACTAAGAACACAAAACCCACTAATTATGCAGAATGTGGGACTATTCATTATCCACTGCCTTCAAAGAAGAAGTCGAACCCCACAATAGCTAGCGTAGTAGTAGAAGTAGAAGTTTTTTCCCAGACAGTTGTTACCTGTCTCCTGTTGCTGTGTAATGAGTATTATAGGCCTCCCTTAACGCCATAAAACATTTTATCAGAATATGCCTAAATGTGCCAACTGGGAGTCTCAATGCCGACGCACTCTTATGTCAGTTAGAATTAGATAGATTAGGTAGTAAATGTTGGGCATCTGGTGTACGGAAATCTTTAGAGGAATGCGGTTATGCCTTTGTTTGGCATTCCCCCCTAGCTATCAATTGCTTCAAAAGTACACGGAACCATCTACTCCATTCACCAACGTTTGAAAGACATCTACTTCCAAAAATTCCTACGCGAAATTCATAATGACAACAAATCCAAAAACGCAAAGAACAAACTGCGCTCGTACAGACTATTCAAATCTACTTATAATGAAGAGCATTATCTTAAAATCCCAAACGGAAGTCAAAGAACCACCATCACCAAACTACGAATCAGCTGTCATAAACTCAGCATCGAAACAGGAAGGCACAACCGCACACCTCTGGAGCAAAGGATTTGCCAATATTGTAGCTCAAACAAAGTAGAAGATGAAGCCCACTTTGTTATTGATTGTAGTTTATATAGTAATGAAAGAAATGACCTTTTTAGATATATTACTAGTACGTTTCCATACTTCCAATACTTGCCTAATGTTGAAAAATTTATCTTTCTTATGCGCTTTGATCATCCTGTACTATACAAACCCATCTCAAATTATATTTTTAATATTACAAAGAAACGAGAAGAAGCCGAACCATTGTATTAGAGTAGTTTTAAAGCTGTTTGTAATACAAACATGTATATTACCTATTTCATCTGTTGACCTGTACTTAGCCAGATAGGGCATGAATGTACAATAAAGGTTATTATTATACTTGATTGTAAAAGCAATTAGCCTTCGGGCATGATTTTGCGAATAAAGTTTCAATTATAAAGCTGTAGTTTAGCGTTGAGTGGCTTACGTGCAGATTAGAAAATACAACGACATCAATGAATAACCACAGAGTCTATCCAGGTCACTAAGGACCTATAATCTCTCTTCTTTTACTCCCACAAGCGTCTTGTCTAACGAATCAAATCACCGGCGTTGGCAACTATCGAATACTGGATACCAGTGTGACAAATATTTAAAAACAGTCACGTTCAAGAAAGCCTCGCTGTAAAAAGAAAATAAATATCTTCTTGCAATTGTAAATGGATACTGACAAGCCAATTTGACACCTCTAAGGCTACGGTCACAACCCGCCGTACGTGCTTCTGCGTGCTGTCTACGTGCAAAAACGTGAGCAAACGCAGGGCATCCGTGCGTGGTGAGTACCACCTCCGTGCGGAATCCTACGGATTTGGGAGCACGCAGACACGCCGTAGAACTTTAAGTGCATGTAAAATTTTTCTGCGTGCGGTCTGCGGATTCACCACCCGTGCGTGTGAGTATGAGCGACGTGCGTGCCCCGTACGTGCCGTGCGGAAGACGCACGTGTGCGTACGGCCTCCTTACGATAAAGTTGCAATCGCACAGAGATCGTACGTTGTAAGCACGTACAACTCACTTACCACTTGCGCAACGTACGATGCACGCAACCGCTCACGGCCAGACGTAACGTGCAGACCACACTCTTACACCTTGAGCAACCGTGCAAGTGACGTGCGTCGACGCCACTCCTTCCCCACGTTTTCAGAAAAAAATAGCAGACGTAGCCTCCCAAAAAACGTACGGACAAAAAGCACGTACGGCGGGTTGTGACCGAGGTTTAAGGCAGCACAGAAAGATATGCTCTGAGATTGTTAACTATATTCACGGCAGTAAAATGCTGGAAATGGAGACAGCCTAAGATAAACTTAAAACGCAATTCCAATTCCAGACAAATGTATCAATGAGCTATGTACAAAAAGGCAGAAACATAATTGATACGTCTTTTTTTACACTGTCTGCGTCATTGTAATTTCCTCAGCACGAAATTTGATTCCTTCTTTTGCATCAACCATCCTGATTGATAGAATATGATTGTCAGGGTCATGGGATTATTCTCTGTGACTGGAAGTTTTTTACCTTCGCCAAGAAGGTTATGTTTTCAGAGGCGTTCGTGTGTGTACGTGTCTGTCTGTCTGTCTGTAAACACGATAACTTAAGAAGGCTTAAATGGATTAACTTCATATTTAGTAGGTGGGTAGGTCTTGATGAGACCTCGAAATGATTAGATTTTGGGTCCCCTAGCGGCTCATTATGGTACTGTAGCTGAACTTCCGGTTATGATATCTCATGATATAGACATGCTAGGGTCACGAAATTTAGATGGTAGGTAGGTCTTGTGCTGGGGAAGAAGTGACGTAGGTTTGGCCCACCTAGCTGCTTGGTCAGGAACTGCAGGGGCGTTTCTTTAAAAATACTAAAAAGAGACTCAAGAACCGGTTGACGGATCGTCGTGATTTTTGATATGTAGGTAGCTTAAGCGACGCTTGACATAATTATGCGACAATTATGCAAATGTGGATGTAATTTGCAAAATTTATGAGGAAATTCTATAAA